ACCTACCACCAACCAAAAACCCCGCATCTAAATTCATTTTAAGGTAACAAAAAAACCATCCAGAAGATGTTTTTAGGTTGCATTTCAAGAGACCTTGTTTAGTAGAGACCCTAATTGTAAGAGTTCTCTTGGCGACTTGCCACTGTCTGTCAATAGGTGGCGCCTTTTATTATTATTTAAATTTTTTTCATTAAGTACCTTATTGTTAGGTCATTTTGGAAGTTGCTAGATTTCTTTTGTGGAATTTATCCTTGTCAGAATATACGGAATCTATTGTAGTTCATAAACAGTAGGTATACGAAAATATCGTTGAGTATTTTCTTGATGAACAAGGAGCACAGTAACGCCGCATTTACAGTTGTCTTTAAAATCACATTTGCAGAGACTTTACTTGCGAGGAATTCTGCTGCCGATTTGCCACTGCTTGTTATTGGGTAGCGCCCTGTGCGCCTCGCCAAAAATACCATTCGCTTTTATGGAAGGGACCGTCCTTTAAAGAGAAAGAAATTATTGTGTTATACCTTAGGAGATCGCTTTATTTTTTCAAAATTCAAAAAACTGTCCAAATTACCTAACTATCATTTAAATAATAGGGTCGATTTAAAAAAAACGCCCAGACAAGTCATTTTTGTATTCAAGGGGAAACTTTTTGACCCCATCGGTATTTCGCTAAGCTGCACCCCCTGGGTGGGGCGACTTTCATCCCTCTCTTCTGGATAGGGAAGATGGGTCGAGTGATACCTTGTTTTAAAAGTATTTTGATTCTCGTCACAACTGCCATTTTTTTTGAAAAACGAATGATTAGTTCTCAAGATATTCAGTGCCAAAGTTGCCATGGGCTAAATGAGAAACAATCTTCTGGCTCTGTTATTCTCAAATTAACACTTTCCTGACTTTCCTCTCGGACACGTCAATTCATTTTTTATGTGCTTCTGAAAAAATTAAAATTGACGTGTCCGAGAGAAAACTCAGGTAAGTCTTAATTTGAGAATAACAGGGCCAGAAAATATTTGTTTTTCATTTAGCCCATGGCAACTTTGACAGTGAATATATCGAGAACTAATTATTCGATTTCCAAAAAAATACGCAGTTGTGACGAGAATCAAAATACCTTTGAAACAAAGTACCACTCGACCCATCTTCCCTATCTAAAAAAGAGGAGTGAAAGACGTACTTGGCTCTAAAATCGACGTCTTACAAACGTGCAGTATGTCATAACGTTACACCTTATGTACGTCTTTGGAATGTAATTGTGTTTGTTGGGGAAGAGAGGGATGAAAGTCGCCCCACCCAGGGGGTGCACCCTAGCGAAATACCGATGGGGTCGAAAACTTTCCCCCTGGAATACGAAATTGACGTGTCCGAGCGTTTTTTGATATTCGACCTTAAAATACCCCTAAAACCTCTGTTTCGATGTTCGTGAAACACCTTGTATATGTAGGGAAGAGAAACTTATTTGGCCTCTTTGTAACAAAAATCACAAGTGCAATTAATGTAATTCCACCACGCATGAGTGTAGTAATTGTAAGTTTGCAGATGTTCTGAAAATACCAAATATTCAGTTTAACCACACTGTCCTCGATAAGAATTGTATTTGTCATAAAAATGCACAGGAAACACAAAAAAAAACACACAACACACTACTCGTAGCACCGAAAGAAGGCCCCATTGACAGTAGTAGATATTCTACATGTAGATATACAAGATATTATTGCTCATATAACGGAGTTAACTTATATTAGCAGCAAAGAAATACATGGGGAATATGTGCGCTTCTGAAACACATTCAACCACTGACTGAAATAGAAGATCATCAAGTGGAAGTTCCAGGTTATTTGACACTATTTTGCCATCCCAACAGTAAGCATATACAGGCGGAGTTGTTATTTAATAAAAAAATGTTTAAATTTTGAAGTTGTTTTAAATGAAGCGTTTTTGTTGCCTCATATTACCGCTCCCCTAACTTAAGATCACGCCTTTTTCTTGAATATTTGGAAGAAAACCTCACTGAGGACAGTTTTCAACAAAAGAGAAATTTTATATCTCAGGTGATGTGAATGTCGATTTTTTTAAAAATAATGGAGACACTATAAAACTGAAAGAGATCATACATGGTGCGGTCCAAGGTACTGTTCGGGAAAAGCCACAAATTTCAAGAGTCCGTAAATTAAATCAACATGCTATCAATAATGTGATCTTGGAACTTGGAACTCATAGGAACAAATTGGAATTACTTATTTGTGGATGTGAACGTTTTTTTTCCCAATCTTGTAGGCAGTATACAAAAAGCCCTTGATAAAGTCGCTCCTTTGCAAAAGTGTAATAAAAGAACATACCCTTGGATAACAAAAGAAATTACAACTGCACAGATGGAGAGGGATAGAGCATACAAAAAATTCTGTTTCACAAAAGAATCGGCAGATTGGGTAAGTAATTTTTTTTTTTTTTTTGGAATAACGTCTCAAAAATAAAAATGGAAAAGAAGAAATATTTTGGAAAAAGTATTGATGATTGTCGTGGGAAAAAAATTACTCGAAAATTATCTATGGAAAGTACAATGGGCCAGCAGAAGAGAACTTTAATAATTTTTACTTGGACAGTTTGCAAGAAGTGACAGACGTATTGAGAAGCAAGTTTGGTTTAGTGAAAGTCCTACTCCTGAGTACATAGAAACAGATTTCTTAACGTTCAAGAGAATCACATTTGCCAAACTCAGCAAAGTTGTTACCTAGTAGTGACAATTTTCTTAGTGTTAGGTTAGTCAAAGACATTTTCTGTGTTATAGGTTATCCGCTCTTGCATTTGATGAATATTTCATTTGGAACAAGGTACCACTCGACCCATCTTCCCTATCTAAAAAAGAGGGGTGAAAGTCACCCCACCCAGAGGGTGCACCCTAGCGAAATACCGATGGGGTCGAAAACTTTCCCCCTTGAATACGAAAGTGACGTGTCCGAGCGTTTTTTGATATTCGACCTTAAAATACCCCTAAAACCTCTGTTTCGATGTTCGTGGAACACCCTGTATATGTAGGGAAGAGAAAGTTATTTGCCGTCTTTGTAACAAAAATCACAAGAGCAATTAATGTAATTCCACCACGCATGAGTGTAGTAATTTTAGTATTGTATTGTATTCTTTGGTATTGAGAAGCAATAAGTTTGATTTAGTGGAAGTCCTACTCCTGAGTACATAGAAACAGATTACTTAACGTTCAAGAGAATCACATTTGCCAAACTCAACAAAGTTGTTACCTAGTAGCAAAGAATATTATAGTTAACTAAGTGTTAACTATAATATTCTTTGCTAGTAGTGACAATTTTCTTAGTGTTAGGTTAGTCAAAGACATTTTATGTGTTATAGGTTATCCGCTCTTGCATTTGATGAATATTTCATTTGGAACCGCGGTACCTTCCCTAATCAGTTAAAAACGAGTGTGATTGTGTCAATTCCAAAATTAATAAGACCTTCAACTCCTGGTGAATTTCGGCCAATAAATTTGCTGCCAGTAGTGGATAAAATCTTGGAAACTATAGCATGTTCGCAATTAGTAGAATATTTTGAGAGCAGAAAGTTACTGTTGGTCAGTCAGCATTTAGAACCCATCATCCTTGTGAAACCGCAGTTCAATATGTAGCTGCAAATGGAGGAATGACATGAACGGAGGCAAAACAGTAATTAGTGTTGTTGTGGACCTCAAACGAGCTTTCGAAATGATCGATAGAGACATTTTATTAGAAAATGTGTTACTTTACGGTGTAAAAGAGAAAGCACTAAGTTGAACTAGAGACTATCTGCAAAACCGGTTTCAAATGACTAAAATAGATTACAGTGTTTCATGAAATCACCAATATTAATTATGAATGATGAATTGACTACATTTGTATAAATAATGCTTCCAAGACCAAGTGTATGTATGATCATAAGATCTAATCCTAAACTAAACTACTTAGAAGATTTAGAGAGTTAGGTTTGGAACTAACATTGAAGTCTGAAACGGTGGAGTTGGTAGATGAAATAAAAGATTTGGGAATCTACTTGGATTCACATCAACTAGCTTTTCGTGGGCATGTGGACTACCTCTGTAAAAAAAATAGAGAAAAAGGTTGGGTTTTTCAGGCGAAAATCTATGTACCTACCTGTCTCATATGGGCCAAAAAACTTCAAGTCACTTGTATCATGTAACAAAATATAGGCTTCAAATTCAGCAAACTAACGCTATAAGAATACTTTATAGGATGTGATAGATATACTTCTATTCGTTATAATGTTGGATAGCCTGGGATGGCTGTCTGTGGAGCAGTGCGTTAAAAAACCAAATATCCTATTAATTTATAAAATAGAGAAGGAATTGGTAACAGAATATTTAATTATTTTTTTTTGGAAAAAAAGAGGAATATTTACTTTTATAATGTCCGTACTAAATGAAACTATCATGTACCGGTGGTAAAAACAACGGCACCGCAAAAGACTCTTTTCTGTAGCAAAAAACCTAACACGAAACGACAAACCGATTGATCAATAATAATAAATGATAATAAACATTTCGCATTTCTACTGCATTTTTTATGTACTATGGTAAACCTTAACAGGGTTTATGTGATTGATTCGTTATAGAATCGAGTGTAGGTAGTCTCAATAAATTTTTCACTTGGGGCTCTGGACTAAATAGAAGACTCGCAATTAACGCGGACGCTTATGCGTTTCAGTATACCTACCTAGTAGTACCTACCTACAAATCCTACAATTTACAAAATCCCTTATTACCATTCTTACTTACATAGGTATGGCACCACCACTTTTTTTGCACTCATATCATTGTACATATGACGTATAGTAGGGTACTGGGTATCTACCTATTATTTGCTGTTATTAAAAAGACAAGGCAATAGGTAATCAATAATTTGACAAATCAAATCCAATACTAGTCCGCCCCTGTAAATTCTTGCCCGTTATTGGGCTTCAACAGACAGACAGTACACTATTCAAAGTCGTACTGTGACCAAGAGACTCGTATTACAAGACAAGAAGAAGAGAGATCGCGAACCAATGTTAACAAAGCAAACTATTTGGTGGCAGTACTTTTAAAAAATCCAATATTGATTTTGTTTGACGTTCGTTTTTGTGCTTTTAGCAACTCTTATTATAGTGATTCGCGAGTGGTACCTAATACGTGAAAAATGTTAAAACCCTTTGAAAAGTTTCTAGGCCCATTAAACAAATGTTAGGTTAAGGTATGTCAAAGTGTCGATGAACTTTTCCATTTACCAGTTTACCCTACTTATAAAATTATTAACTTTTTAAAAACCTATATTATGTCGCTAATATCAAATATGACGTAAACATTATTGAAATTTATTACTAAACTGAGTAATTTATATTGGTGGTCGATTATTATAAAGTAATCAAATAAAGAGTAATACCATCAAGGAAAATAATAACTTGATTGGAATTTGCCAAGCCTTCTCGTTGAGCACGGAATGCATAATAAATTTTATTCACTTGAAGATATCTTTCATTTTAATAATACCAGGATTATCAGCTCAAATGCTTTTACCATGTGGGTTGTCCCGAGTCATAAAAATAGCAACTGGGTCGTACCTTTTATTAAACATAACTTTTTAATCATGTTTGAGAAGGCATTCTTCCACAAAATAATTTTAAATCTTTTGAAAAAGACTGTTTACTTTACATTCAAATACAAATATTAGACAGCTGTTGGTAAAATCAAAATCTTCCAATTTTGTAATTTTGCCTGTCGTCCAAACTTTATTGCAAATTGCAATGCATGTGATGAATTGTAATAACATGTAGGTAAACAAAAACAATAATGAATCAAAAAATTAAAATAAAATGTAATAGCTACCAAAAATTAAACAAATTGCCAATGTAAGATAAATTTGCTTTCTCCTTTTGTATATTAATAAAAGTATGTTGAAAGCCACATGGTGGCCTAGTTTTTGATAAACAGTAGGTACCTACCTTCAATAATTAGTCATTCGATATAAGGTCCATACCTATTCTACTTAATTATGTAGCTTTAGGATCTGCGACAAAAATTTTCACGGAAAATGTGCTTGCTAATTTGATATATTTTTTTTTATATTCAAAAAATTCAGAGATTCTAGGCGCCAATACTGAGTACCTACTTAGTTAAATTTCTGATTCCTTAGTGCAATTTTTTTAACATTCCTAGTATTACCCATCCAAAATACCTCGCTGGTCAGTACAAGGAGGGAAAAAACATAAATATCTCTAGGTACAAACAATGTTGAGGGCATTCCAGGGCTGCACATTATCAAAATTACTTATATTAATATTTGGCAGGGTGAAAGGTATCTATTGCAATGTTTTTGAAACAATTGAATAGAAATGGTTTGTGATGTGATCTAGAAAAATTGTTTATTGGGAAACCAATCAACCACCTTCCAGTTTTAGTGTGCAAGCTGATAAAATTTATAGATTTTCATTATATTTTTCCAGAATCTTTTCTTTGAATTTTCAGTATTTTCAAGCATCTTTTAGTCTTTTCAGCATTTTTTTTTTAAATTCAATTTAGTAGAATTTTTTAGAAATATTAAGTACCTATTTCGCATGCTCGAAAGCATGCGTACCTAGTCTATACGATTTTTTTCCGCTACTATTTTATACATAGCCGAACTTGCCCAGAAACTTTGTTTATAAGTTAACATAATCAGATTGATTTTTGGTAGAGGAACTTTGGTCAGTTTGGGTTAGTTTGGAAAAAGACCTAACCAAAGTTCCTATAGGTACCCGAGAATCAATCTATAATTTGTTGATAAGAGTGTATCTAAAATGAAACCCTACCGACAATGCTTATTATTTCTAACTGAGAAATTATAAAATGTGGAACGTTTTGGTTGAATATTGAATTAATATAAAACAAATGAATTATATAATTGGACGTCCATGCAGGTTTTCTTCTAACATCTTCACTTGATCTAGTTATCCCCATAATTAATTGCTTGTGATAAAAAATGTATTTTTTTTTAAATTTTTATTTTGCTGTGTTAAAACACAAGAGCAGTTTATCAAGTAGGATCGAGAGTAAGATCATATATGAAGAAATATAGGATACATATTAGACTGCAATAACTTTAATTCAAGTAGCTTGAAGACTGAAGTTCCCTTGCACTCAGGGTAATTTTTAAGGAGATTTTGTAACTCTTCTGAAATTATATTATCAATGCACTTTTAAAGTTCATCCTATCTTCTGGAACAATGCCAGAACTAACTAATAAATGTTCACTTTTATTATGTTTTCCAATTAGCACATTTAAATGTTCTAGGTACTGAAATTATGTAATCTCTATTCTCCAATGGCTAATAACTTTTTTCAAAGTAGGCGATTTCCTAATTTTGCCCCAATATGAACAGTATCTTGAATGTAGGATTCAAATCCATTCAAGTCTAAGTGGATCCAAAAGGTTTTTCCTTGACAGTTATTGAAATTTTCAGACAGTCATCATATTCTTCATTTAGATAAAAATGAAACTCATCATTGTAAATCATGAGGTGAAATTTTGAGAGAATTTCTTTAATAAAAATGAATGTCCAACGTCCAACACAAAACTAGATTTTTTTTTCAAAAATTTGCAATTAGTGTCTAATAAGAATGTGGAGTGACTTCTCTGTCTTAATTACCCTACAATTTCCTTTAAATTCCGCATAAATTCCTCATAAGTTCCGAAGCAAATTCCGCATAATTTCTCCAATTTCCCCATAAATTCCTCCAAATTCCCTATAAATTTCACCAAATTCTCATAAATTCCATCAATTTCCGATAAGTTTCTGGAAAAAAATTCCTAGCTGGTTTGCCCCTTAGTTTTTATGATCTAGACTCTTCAAATCTTTTTTCAATTATGCCATACGCAAGAAGATCTTTAACCCATACTGGACACCCATGGATAATTCTTCTAAACATTTGGTTCAATGTCTGGCATTTGACATTATAATTTTTTGATATTTTTTGGCCTCTAATCCTTCTTTTTCGGAATAAGCCTGTCTGAAATCTATGATTTGGTAAAAAAGGTGAAGATTTTTTTTTCTGTCATTATAAGCTCTGCAGGACTAAAGCTTCATTCTAACGGAATAGACCTGAACGATATTAGAGCAAGACATATAGCATAATTTTTTTGATATTTTTAGCAATATTAACTGCTGCCTCCACCAGCTGCATTCTTGGATGCATTAGACTGTGGAAAATAACGGCTACAGTATGTTTAGATCTATAGCACTGGGCTAAATTCTTAAAAGCAGATTTTGAAAATTATTACATAGAACATTAAAGGCCAATTGGATGCCCTAATGAGAAATTTTTAGCTCCGCCAATTTTCGCGAAAATGGCTGTTCTGCTAGCTTCACTTAAGCCAGCAGAACATGAGTGAAAGTGATTAAAACAACGAAATTTGCAATTCTACTTGCACAGACATTAAATGCTCATTAATAAAGGCTCTGAAAGGGAAACTTGTTCGTTGAAGGCTTCAGATTAATGTCTGTACAAGTGGAATTGCAATTTTCGTTGTTTTAGCCACTTTTTCGCTCATGTTCTGCTGGACCTAAAGTGATGTTACCAATTTCAATCAGACATTACCAAACTTATCAATAATAACCCAGTGCTTGTAGTCTTACCCAATCTAACGAGATAAACTAACCAAAACAATTGTATCGCAGTAATGACCGAAAACAATCAAAAATTACCTACAGGTTTAGGTACAAATTTTCAATCAGATATTACCAAACTTACCAATAATAATTGCAATTCCACTTGCACAAACATTTCGTTCTGTTGGCTTAAGTTGAAGCTAGCAGAACCGTTAATTTCGTGAAAATTCGGGGAGCCTAAAATTTCTCATTACAGCATTCAATTAACCTTCAATAAAATAACAACGACTACACTATCCGAACACTGATTTTCACTGTCTTTAGAGATTTTTCGTCATGCTCGACCGACCTTCCTTCCACGCGCGGCGACTTTTTACATTTTCACAAAAAAATTAAATTCGCGACTGGTGTATTTCCAGAGCCTTTAATGTCTGTATTAGCCTTCAATTAAATAACAACTACACTATCGGAACGCATATTGTCACTGTCTAAGAGTTTTTACCCCATGCTCCATCGACCTCATCCCACACGTGGCGACTTATTCGTATGTTCACAATAAAAGTCATAGAGCCTGAAATTTGCGATTGATCTATTTCCAGACTCTTTAATGTCTGTGCAAGTGGAATTGCAATTTTTGTTGTTTGTTCTTGCAGTTTATGAGAAATTTCATTTTCTGTTAATTTTGATAAAAGGAAGGATTTCAAAAAATTTCGAATAATAATCTGTGCCAACTTAATACCTACCATTTCTTATGTTTAAAGAGATTTGTAGCTACACTTCAATTCGTCAAGGTCTGTTGGATTGAAATCCCTTAGAATTGGTTCCTTGAAATTCATACGTTCTTGTAGACAGTTAGAACATATCCTAACCATAGTTTCGATTTGTTTTGATAAACCCTCAGATAAACCAATCCACCAAACAGACATTCGCTCTCTCTCAACACTTGACTATGCCTTGGCGTCTAGAATGAATAAATTTCAAAACTTCCGCCTGTACACATGAAGGGATAACAATTCGCGTGCCTATTAAATTATATAAAAGACTTTCAGCTGCAGTTATTTTTTTTACCAATCATTTATTCAAGTTTTTATGTACATTTTACAAATCTTTGCTTGAGTTACAGGTAATCTCCTAAACAGTGCAAGAAGCACTGGTATCGGAGTATTAAGTACTTACTTTAACAAGGTGTTCATTAATCTCAAGTAGTAATTAGGTAATCAATAATTCAATTCCTACTCACATGATAATAAATAAGGCAAAATACAATGTATTTTTCACTTAAACTAATTTTTAACATTTTTTACTAACTTTTCTGTATTAAATTTTTGTTTATTATAAATAATTTTAGCGTTCATTTTGACTGCTCGATGGACGAGCTGAGAATCTGATTTATTAGTTGCAGACCTAGCATTCAATAGTCTTCAGTATATGTGCGATAGTCAAGATTAAATATGGAACGCCTATGGCGATTCGATTGTGACATTGATTCACAACTGTCTCGCATTTACAAATAGACTATTGGTACTTATGATTATTTAGACCTTTCGGGATTTTTTCAGGATGTCTAGAATTTTTTAGAAGTTTCCGAAACAATTATTTAAAAAGTCGC